ATGGTGACAAAGCTGGCGACGATGGGGTCCATGTCACCCAGGTTGATGATCCTGAGCAGCAGGACGGTGTTGATGGTCTACAATGGTGGTTCCCAACCTTTTTTACACCGCAGACTGGCAAAACCATTCACAAATTTTTGGCAGACCAGTAATATTTTATCTGCATATTTGCAGATTCATTACGGTAATTAATTTTAAGAGGTCATGTGTTTACACTACAGCTGTACACACACAATACATGTCATTATAATGGATCGGAGTTTGTAGATATCTACAACGCTAAAAAAATTCTGTTAAAAGAATCTTTGCTTTTCTTATCTTAAGCCTATGTAAACTTTGTCTGAAATATAATCACGCAAATGTCATGTGCCAGGCCTTTTGTTCCTGTATTCAAAAGCAGCCTAAAAGCTTTTAACACACCTGAAATTTTGGCACCATCCCATACAGCCTGCCTCAGCCCAGGAGACAGTCCTATGTTTGCAGCCCAGCTAGGGCTGTTGAGCTGAGACAGGGTTTGATTCTTGCTGCCTGTAGCCCAGAGGGAAACAAGTTAAGACAACCCAAACTCCCCTCTGCCCCCACTCACTGCACAGATGCCAGCACCACCACTCATTTTCCCCACCTACCCCAGGCAGTCTGCTGCTGCCTCTTTCCCAGACCAGGAAGCTGCTGTAATCAGATCTCTGCAATCAAAGGTCTCCTATCCAGTACTAACTGCACGCTCCAAACTCCCCTCCCCTCTGACCCTTCCTGTCTCAGCCACATACTCACTCCTCCCTCCGTTCCTTCCGCCCTTCTTATGTCCCCTTCCCTACCAGCACACTCTTTGTCTGGCACAGGGAGCTTCTGCTGCTGAGTGACTGCCCCTCCCCAGACAGGAAGCTCTCTATGTGGTAGACCTAAACCTCTAGGTGGGGCTCAATTAGCAGCTACGTGGACCCACTGCCACACAGCTTACAGGGAACTTAGATTCCCACCGAGCCAATTATCCAAGTTGAAAATCCCTGGCCTACACCACCTGTGAAAGGAGACAAACAAACAGAGAATCCCATGGGGGCCAAGGCCCTTGAGAGGTCCCTGAGCCCCTGCCTCTTTCCCAGCCCAGGAAGCTGCTGTAATCAGATCTCTGCAATCAAAGGTCTCCTATCCAGTACTAACTGCACGCTCCAAACTCCCCTCCCCTCTGACCCTTCCTGTCTCAGCCACATACTCACTCCTCCCTCCGTTCCTTCCGCCCTTCTTATGTCCCCTTCCCTACCAGCACACTCTTTGTCTGGCACAGGGAGCTTCTGCTGCTGAGTGACTGCCCCTCCCCAGACAGGAAGCTCTCTATGTGGTAGACCTAAACCTCTAGGTGGGGCTCAATTAGCAGCTACGTGGACCCACTGCCACACAGCTTACAGGGAACTTAGATTCCCACCGAGCCAATTATCCAAGTTGAAAATCCCTGGCCTACACCACCTGTGAAAGGAGACAAACAAACAGAGAATCCCATGGGGGCCAAGGCCCTTGAGAGGTCCCTGAGCACTCACCAGGAGCAACCCCCTACTTACCTCCTCCCCTGTCAGGGCTTTGTGAAGGCAGGACTGAAAAACCTTCCAGGGAAGGGGCTTCCTCCCTCCTGCTTTCCTTAGGGAACTCCATTCCAGAAGTTCTCCCCCCTCCTGGGACAACAGCCAGAGAGCACCATACTTGCAAAAGCATAGCCCTGGAGATTGATTTCTCCACAACAAACTGGTTCCCGATGGATCGGTAGCTGTCCAGTGTGGTGAGCTTCTAGATGGCGATGGCAACCCACTTCTGGAGGGGGATGGTGGGTCTCATGTGGATCTCCCATTGTCTCAGGGCAGGCACTAGCCACTCACACAGCTCCAGAAAGGTGTCCTTCTGCATGCAGAAATTCTGGAGCTACTGCTGGTCACCCCACCATTCCATGATGATCTGGCCCTCCAGGGAAGTGCAGGAGAGGGTGGGTGGGGGTCGTATTGCATGAGCAGTGCCCGCAGAGAGAGGAGGAAGTTCCGCACAGTGAGCTGGGGGAGTTGGGGCGAGGGTTGTGTGTGGCATCCCACAAAAAGAGCTGCAGAAGGTACAGCACAACCTGTAAAAGCTGTTGACTGCTGGGAGGCAGGTCTGGCTCTGTGGCTAGACAACTGAGGTGTCTGCAAAGGCAACCACAGCAAGCAGAGAAAAGGATTTGTTGTCCCTCAAGAAGGGAGGGAAAGATGAAGAACTGTACAGGGGAGTCCCTTTACGCTCGAGCCTCAGAGAGCCTCAGGCAGCAGCTTCCAGAAGTAGCTGCTGTCCTGATGCCCTGCCGGAAGTGGTTCTGGGTGGCCTTAAATGCGATTCAGCATCCAGTGAGTGTGGATGCTCTATTTCAAAATCGCTCAGTGCTATTTTAATGGGCATCTGCTGTGTAGACGCTCTATTTCGAAATAAGCTATTTCGGAGTATTTCCTCTGGAATAGCTTATTCTAAAAGAAGCCTGCAGTGTAGACATACCCTGTGAGTATAAACTCAGCTGGCATATTTTGTTATCATTAGTAACCTACTTTGATTTGTTTGTTATCACTTGCAACATCTTAAATCCTAAAAGAATTGTTACCTGGGGGCAGAGAGGATCACAGCTCGCTTTCATTGACAAAGGGAGTGAATAACCCATCAGCTTGCTCTGAATAATATTTTTATGGATTTATGTGGGTTTTGGTCCCATTGGAGTTGTGCATCTGGGTGTTGTGTCAAGACCCTGTGACTGAGCCTTCTCAGAGCTGAGCTACTCTCAGGGTCTGTGTTGCTTTGCTGTGGGCTGACACTCCAGTTCTATGCCTTTGCGGGATGCCCCATAGGGCAGGGATGTGGGCGCAGTGGTATGATCAGCCCATCAAGAGACAGTCTCAAGGGGATCTCTGTGCCAAATCCAGCACACTACCCTAGTATTTTCTGTTCAATGTAGAATATTCTCAGTTGTTAGGCTTGTCAGGATTAGATTTTTATTGGTCAATATCAGGACTTTCTCCCCTTTCCTTCCCCCACCCCCCATACACATACACACACAAACTGAAAAAATATTTCCATTGATTATGATAAAACTTTACAGAGAGGTTTGCTGCTTGTAAACTTACTAGTGTTCAAATTAAGGATAGATATTTTATAGCTGTTCATATGTGATGTTCACAATTTGTGTTTTAAATGTTAACGTTTTAAATTCTTCAATCTCAATATCTGCTGTGGGATTAAACCCCCCCCCCCCCCCCCAGAATTTCTCACAATTGTTAAAATTTGAATTGATTGAAAAGCTTTAAAACATTGATGTTCTCTATCAAAATTACTTAAAAAACAACATCTGAATTCTGCTAAGTGAAGTGATAAGAAATATTGATACAACTGTATTTACTTTATCTTATTAAAAATAGGCAATTTTTCAAAAGATGAGCATTGCTTTGAGCCATGAAAATATGTGTGGAATTTAAGGGATTGTCTGATTGTTTCAGGGGGAGTTGCACATACCATAGAATGGAAATTCTACTGCCATCTACTTCAAGACAGACCCAAGAAAACCAACAATAGAACACCACTTGTCATCACCTACAACCCCCAACTTAAACCTGTCCAACACATTATCAATAAACTACAGCCTATATTGGAACAGGATACCATACTCAAAGAGGCTCTGGGAGACAGACCCATAGTCTCCTATAGACAACCACCTAACCTCAAGATGATTCTTACCAACCACCACAGGACATACCACACTAATACCAACCCTGGTACCTTCCCTTGCAACAAACCCCGTTGCCAGCTTTGTCCACATATTCATTCTGCTGATACCATTATTGGACCTAACCAAGTGAGTTATAAGATCAAGAACACATATTCCTGCGCATCCAGAAATATAATCTATGCTATCATGTGCCGAAAGTGTCCGTCTGCTATGTACATTGGACAAACATCTCAGACACTTCGCCAAAGGATTAATGCCCACAAAACAGATATCAGACAAGATCACAAAGAGAAAACAGTTTCTTGCCACTTTAACCAGAAAGGACACTCTCTAAATGACTTAGCCACCTGCATTCTGCTACAAAGACCTTTTACATCTGCACTTGAAAGGGAATCCTCTGAACTGTCATTCATGTTAAAATTCGACACTTACCACCAGGGACTTAACAAGTCTTTGAACTTTCTCACCCATTATCAAGACAGTTTCCCCAATTATCACCTGTAATACCATTAACTCACAAACATCCCACTCTCCCTACCTCTAATATCATCAATTCACAGACACTTACCTTCCTTCCTCCCCCTTCCCACCCCCCCGCATCCTCCTTCTGTTCTGCAATGTGATTTGTCCTTTTCATATTTGTTCTTTTTTTTAATTGTATCCTTTGGTATATATGGTTGTGACTACTTTCTTCCACTATTTGATCTGAGGAAGTGGGTCTGGCCCACGAAAGCTCATCATCTAATAAACCATCTTGTTAGTCTTTAAAGTGCTACATTGTCCTGCATTTTGCTTCTGAAGTGCATTTGATATTCAAACTGCCCCTTTTGGTTTTAGAGACTAAAGGCCCGTGGAGTATCTGTCCGTAAGTGATCATGGTGTTAATTTATTCATATCTGTGACTCATGGGTGGGGAAAGTAAAGTCATCGTCATTTTTTTAAACTTTATCCAAAACTCAAGCTGTGATGCAATGGTTTGCAAGGATGCCCCACTGGTTCAAATGATTTCAGACCATCACTAAGAGCTAAACTTTACGAGTACTGAGGACGAGGATGAACTTTGGCTGTGACCTGGATCCACAATTCACAGAGTGTTTTTTTCATACAGCTGCAATAATATTCCAAAAACCATAACTGACCATTTACTTTGTTCACTCTTGCAAATGAAAATAAAGCTACTGTTGCGACAGCAGTCTCTTCACTAATGTAATGCTCCCCCCCCCTCCCCCGTGGCTCCATCAACAACAAAGAACTCTCACAGGCTGAAAAATCTTTCTCTAAATCTTTTTAATGGAAAACATCATAGAAAATATTTCATCTCCTTTTACTTTTTAATAACATAACTATATACATGATAAACTGTAACAAAGACCTGCAGGTATTGGAGAGAAAAGTTTTGTTGGCTACATGCAGATGGTATATTGTTTAAAACAAGATTTTCACAAACTCATGTACATCAAATATAGCAACAGTGACAAAGCTGAGGAACAAATGGCAGCTGTGTATAATTTACCTGAATTTAACTGGAATAACACAAAGACATACAAAACACACAAATAATACAGAGGAATACATAATATAAATGCTTATTGCTAGCACAGAAGGTTTCTTTTCTTTTTTCTTTTTAAGTAAATAACAGGAAAGAAATAGAATTTCTTTTTTTCACATTTTATATTGCAGTTAAAAAGATAACTAATGTGTTATTTGCTGTATGTTTATTTTACTCTGGCATACGCTACAGTAGGAGTACATGACATTCACATGTAACAACTCAGGAATACTTGGTGTCAGCACTGTGTTTGTGAATTCCCTGTCACTTGTGAAAAACAGCATGGTACATAGTACTTAAAAAACACACACACAGGAAATGTCATGAGTTATAGATACAAAACACTTTTTGGGCTCAAGGTTGGAAGATGCGAGGCACTTGGGTCCCAATACTACAAAGCTCTTAGGGCAGTCCTAACTTCTGAGGTAAAAGTTAAGCAAGTGCCTTAATGCTTTGCTGGACTGGACTCCATGGAGCACTCCCTGCTCAGCACCTTGGCCTATAGAGCCTATGGTTAAGAAACAAACTGTTAAATATATGAGGCTATAATTCTGTCCCTACATTCCACATAATGTAGCTACAGTAGGATATTTACTGTACTTTTAAATATATGTTGTTAAAATAACACCAGGCCCGTACTCAGGAATTTCTGTTGAGTGGTGCTTTTTTTGTAAATGTAGACTGAAAGGTGTGAATGCACCTCTCATGCTCCCCCAGGTAAGTGGGACAATTAGCCCCAGCCTTCCTCCGGGCCGCCAGAGCATGTGGGAGAGAAACTCAGCAGCACACTGCTCCCACCTTCCCCGGCCTGGCCGGAGCATACTTACTTGGGGGACAATAGAGGTGGTGCTTTTGCACCCTTTTCCGCCTCTTCCCCCTGTGTACAGGCCTGAGCAAAACACCTCACCCCAACTGGTGCTAGAGCGTTATTCTGCATCTGCAGCAGGAAAGAAAAAAAAGACAAGGATGTGTTGATGTTCCATTTGTAACCTGGGAATCAGGAAGGATTCTGGAGCCACAAGAAGGGATTAGCAGCGAGTCTCACTTGTAACTAGGCCTGCTCTTATTCTGACGCTTTGTGAAACCAGAGTGGACATCAATGAAAAGTCCAAGAGCAGCAATTAAGCTCTTGCGGGGTTCACCAGCACCGTGAGGACAGCAAACCACCTTTTCGCTTGTCCGGCAGGTTTTTCCAACTCTAATGAACACATCACAATTTCTAAACTGGGTCAAAGTAGAAACTTCTGCTGTGATGCAGTTTGCTGGCCAAGAAGCCTGCAGAGTCTGCGTAAGGGTATGCAGATATTTCATTGGTGGGAGGGAGGGATGGGGGAGGAGGGAATGCTCTGCAAATAATGGAAGTAAAAGAATAACTCTGTAAAACCTTTGGAATCTCGCTCCAATTCAGTCATGTGCGGCTGAGAGGATGATAAAACTTTCTAAAAAAACCTTACAAGTAAGATGGTACCTATAATAACACGTAAAATAAGTATTAAGATTCACTGTGAATACCAGTCAGTCTTGGGCCTAAACCAGATATCAGTGCTCACTAGAATCCTTCCAAGTTGAATAATCCATACAATAATTTTGTCCTCTCCCTTCTCCACTTGTGTGACCACTTCAAAATATCATGTTGATTGCAAAGTAACCAAGGTAACATACTGGCTGGCTCCAATTCAAAATAGTTCACTTTTGGTTATTAAAGAACACCAGTGATACTTGATCATGACTAAAATGGTGACTCTTCAAATGAAATCTGCTGCAAAGCATCATATAAGACTACCAGCCCAAAGCAGCCTTTTTTGAGAAGGTGATTTTAAAACAACCTGCCTTTTTTGCATATGTAGGCAAAGGATTATTGTGTGTGTAGCTAATAGTTTTAGAGTGGTGCAGTTATTAAATGGTATCCAATTGCAATGTTAACTCTTCCTGCCTGATTTGATTTAAAAAGGGGGGGGGGCGGATTGCCAATGGAGTATTATGAAACAATGCAGAGTTGGTTTGCATTATGTATGCAATTATGTGCCTGGTATATATGTTGTAACTTAATATCTTAAATATATACTGCGTAACAACACTTTTTATTCCTGAGTGCTGGTCCCATAAGGAATATCGAGGGTGGGATCTCATGCTGTTCTGCACAACATGCTCCATCTTCTTAGGAATTCTTTTGAGGAATCTTTATTGTCACAGTTTTAACTTCAGAATATTCTCTCAATCCACATTCGCCCCTAGAAAACAAATTGCAGCCTGTCAACTCATGTCCATGCATTAGTTCCTTATTCAGACTTAACCTTTAGCAAAAGGTTACCTGGTGAAGTCCTGATACATCCTGACCAAAGCACAGCTACATTATTATACTGTGTATTTACCACTGGATTAAAGTTCATTTTATCTTCTAAAACCACTGACTGTCAAGTCCCAGTTTGAATCCTGGAAGCCACTGTGAATCCTGGGTTACATCTACACTACCGCAGAAAGTCGACCTAAGGTATGCAACTCCAGCTACCCGAATAATGTAGCTGGAGTCCACATACCTCTGGTTGAGTTACTGCAGAATCTACACTGCAAGGGATTGACAAGAGAAACTCTTCTGTCAACTCCCCTTACTCTTCAAGTATCTAAATGGGTGTTTCAAGGAGGAGAGAGAAAAATTGTTTTTCTTGGCCTCTGATGATAGGACAAGAAAAAATGGGCTTAAATTGCAGCAAGGGAGGTTTAGGTTGGACATTAGGAAAAACCTTCCTGTCAGGGAGGTTAAACACTAGAATAAGTTGCCTGCGGGGGTTGTGGAATCTCCATCACTGGAGATATTTAAGAGCAGGTTGGATAGACATCTATCAGGGATGATCTAGACGGTGCTTGGTTCTGCTGTGAGGGCAGGGGACTGGACTTGATTTCTCAAGGTCCCTTCCAGTTCTAATATTCTATGCTTCTCCGATTCTTGTCCTGGGTATGGTAATAGGGTTGACTGGAGAGGGACATGTGGTCAATTTTGCAGGTCTTCATTAGACCTGTTAAATCTACTGCTGGTGGACTGATCTCAGAACATCGATCCCCATGATTATGCAGATGTAGCCGTGGATAGTAGTGACTAGAAGACCCCACTGTCCATGGATGGAGCCATGCAAAATGAATCCGTGATCTCCATCTCTTCCAGGTCCTGGAGGAAAAATGGCCACATCCCAAGAATGAACAGTATAACTGGCACCCATATCAGCACTCTACAAAGACAGACTGAGGAAGGAATCACAAGAAACTGGAATGCCTAATATCCCTAACCTAGGGCTTCATTCAGCCCAACCTGTCTGTCTTCTGCTCCTGCTGGTTTCTCCCCTAGGAGTGGGGGAGATAGGCTGCACCACTTCCCGTGGCTGAGACTGAGGAAAAAAGTACTGTAATTTAGCGAATATACCCCGCACCCAAATATAACCCGCACCTGAATATACCCATCTACAGAAGAGAAGAGTGAGGGGGGATTTGATAGCAGCCTTCAATTTCCAGAAGGGAGGTTCCAAAGAGGATGGAGAGAGGCTGTTTACACTAGTGACAGATGGCAGATCAAGGAGCAATGGTCTCAAATTGCAGTGGGGGCGGACTAAGTTGGATATTAGGAAAAACTATTTCCCTGCACAGCTGCCAGCCTCCGGGCGGGGGAGCGCTTATCCCCCTGGTTCCTCCGCAGCCACAGGAAGGGGCGGGGGAGCAGGAACCACCATCCTCCGGGCGGGGGAGCACTCACCCCTCTCCCCCCCATTCCTGCGCAGCCGCAGGAACCACCAGCCTCCGGTGACTTAAAAAAAACCCTACAGACCCCGCACCCGAATATATCCTGTGGAGGGGTGGGGGATGCGGGGTTTGTAAAAACGAATATAACCTGTGGCTTATATTTGCTAAATTACAGTAGCATCAGGGACTTAGAGCATTAGCATATATTCCACTGCAGAGATCAACCTACCCAGGCTTCCAGTAGCCAGAAACCCTCTGGGTATGTCTACACTACAGTGCTAATTCAAACTAACTTAGTTAATTCGAACTAAGCTAATTCGAACTAACGGATCCAGACTAAAAAACTAGTTTGAATTAGCGTTTTGCTAATTCGAACTAGCATGTTCACACAGAGTGGACCCTGAACAGAGGTTAAGGATGGCCAGAAGCAGTGCCAGCAGGGCATCAGATGAGGACCTAGAGCGTGGAGCTGCTGTCTCAGGCTAGCCAAGGGCTGTGCTTAAAGGGACCCAACTCCCACCCCGGACAGACAGTTCTCAGGGGTGCCCCGCTTGCAAAGCAGTCCTGGCTTGGAGTGCCCTGAGTGCCCACACGCGGAACATCACAGCACTCGGCCATCAGCCCGGCTGCACTTGCCACAGGCTGCCATCCGGGGGGAGGGGACAATCGGGGGGGCTGCAGGAGAACTTCCACCCCGAGAAGCCTGCAGAGCCAGCCCAGTCCTCCTCACTGGGGGCTCGTACCCCATTCCTCCCTCACCTCCTTCCACTTACCCTTCCCTAGCCCGCCTTCCTGATGTACAAAATAAAGAAAACGTGTGTTCAAAAATAGAATCTTTCTTTATTGAACAAAACTGGGGGAGACTGGGAAAAAGAGGTGGGAGAGGGGAAGAGAGAGGGTGGGAGAGGGGAGGGCAACTAAAATGATCAGGGGTTTGGAACAGGTCCCATATGAAGAGAGGCTAAAGAGACTGGGACTTTTCAGCTTAGAGAAGAGGAGACAGAGGGGGGATATGATAGAGGTCTATAAAAGCAAGAGTGGTGTGGAGAGGGTGCATAAAGAAAAGTTCTCCATTAGTTCCCATAAAGAAGGACTAGAGGACACCAAAGGAAAGGAATGGGTAACAGGCTTCAAACTAGTAACAGAAAGTTGTTCTTCACAAAGCAAAGAGTCAACCTGTGGAACTCCTTGCTGCAGGAGGCTGTGATGGCTAGAACTAGAACAAAGTTTAAAGAGAAGTTAGATCAAGTCATGGAGGTTGGGTTCATGGAGTGGTATTAGCCAGGGGGTAGAAATGGTGTCCCTGCCCAAAGTTTGTGGAAGGCTAGAGATGGATGGCATGAGACAAATGGCTTGGTCACTGTCTTTGGTCCATCCCCTCCAGGGTCCCTAGGGTTGGCTGCTGTCGGTAGACAGGCTACTGGACTAGATGGACCTTTGGTCTGACCCAGTACGGCCATTCTAAGCTCAGGGCTCAGGGTCGGGGGGTCTCAGTGGACCACACTGATTTTCATGTAAACCTGCTTCTGGGTGGCCAGGCTGGCAGCTCTCCTGCCCTAGACGGCCACTTTCCTGTGCCTAGTGCAGAGTTCGTGGACGAGGTCCACGATGTCTGCACTAGACTAGGCGGGTGCCCGCCTCTTGCGGTCCTGCCAGGCTCCCGAGAGCCACCAGCCTGGTCCCGGGAAGAGGCGGAGGGCTGGGGGGCATCGGGTGGCTGGCTCATGGCGTGCCAGGTGCAGGGTCTGCTGGCTGGGTGCTGGCAGGCTTGCACCTGGCACAGGCCCCGTAGCCAGCCCGTGCTCCTTTAAGGGCTCCGGGGCCGGGAGGGGGGCATACGAGTTTCCCTGGTGGTGCCCAGAGTGGCCACCAGAGAAAGCTGGGGAGGGCTAGCCTACCACTAGTTCGAATTAAGGGGCTACACAGCCCTTAATTCGAACTAGTAAGTTTGAACTAGGCTTAGTCCTCGTAAAATGAGGTTTACCTAGTTCGAACTAAGTGCTCCGTTAGTTTGAATTAAGTTCGAACTAGCGGAGCGCTAGTGTAGCGCCTATCAAAGTTAATTCGAACTAACGTCTGTTAGTTCTAATTCACTTTGAAGTGTAGACATACCCTCTTTTAGCCCTGGCCCAGTGACATTTAACTGACACTACAAGCCCTTTCAAGTTTAGTGACTCTCATCCACTTGGGACTGGGCACTGCTGGATATGTCCACTGCTTGGGAAACAGGGAGGTTAAGCTTGGTTACTGGATAGATTTTTCCTCTAACCTGCCCTGGCCAGTTCCTCTCTTGGGCAATGCTCCTAAGTCTCTGCAGTGAACATTGCAAGACTATTCCTTTTCTCCCTAAGGAACAGCTTGTTTCCTTTCCTCTTTGTACATTTGGGGTGACTGAGAAGTCATTATTTGCTTTTACAATGAGAAATCCTGTGGCACCTTAGGGTATGTCTACACTACCCTCCTAGTTCGAACTAGCGGGGTAATGTAGGCATACCGCACTTGCAAATGAAGCCCGGGATTTGAATTTCCCGGGCTTCATTTGCAAGTGCGGTATGCCTACATTACCCCGCTAGTTCGAACTAGCGGGGTAATGTAGGCATACCGCACTTGCAAATGAAGCCCGGGATTTGAATTTCCCGGGCTTCATTTGCAAGTGCGGTATGCCTACATTACCCCGCTAGTTCGAACTAGGAGGGTAGAGTAGACATACCCTTAGAGACTAACAGATTTATTAGGACATAAACTTTTGTTGTTTTTACAGATACAGAATAACCTGCTACTCCTCTGAGATTATTTGTGTTGGCATTGCAGTCCTGCCTATAGGCTCTAATCAGGGACCGGGACCCTCTTGTGTTGAGCACTGCACAGACACAGAAACTGCCCCTAAGGCTACGTCTACATTGCAGTTTGCTAAACTCGCAGAGCATCCACACTACAAGTGTGGTTTTGCACAAGAAAAAGTACAGTAGATCATCAGAAAAGCTCTTGTGCAAAAAGACATGTGTGGACAGACAACAGGGGTTTCTTGCGCAAGAATGGCCATCAGAGCACCTGTGCTTTTTCCCATAGGGGTTTCTTGCGCAAGAAACCCCTATGGGAAA